GGCCGTAGTGGTGGTGGTCGAGAGCGCATACGAAGTGCGCCACTGGAGGCTCAGGTGGAGCTCCCTATGGGGCCACGAAACGTGCGAGGGGCGTGCCGAAATGGTAGCGGGGACACATGCGAACGGCACCATTGGGGCGTTAGGTGGAACTCCCTTTCTGGGGCCACGAAACGTGTGACAGATGTGCTGAAATCTGAGGCGAGGATGCGTGCAAAAGGCAGAAATTCGGCCTTAGGTGGAGCTCCCCGCTGGGCCACGAAAGGTGTGAGTGGTGTGCCGACATGGGTGGCGGGGACGCATGCCAACGACACTATTGGGGCCTCGGGTGGACCTCCCTATGGGACCACGAAACGTGTGAGGGGTGCCAACATGAGTGGCGGGGGCCCATGCGAACGGCACCAATTGGGTCGTAGATGGAGCTCATTATGGGGCCACGAAACGTGTGAGGGGTGTGTCGAAATTGCTCGCGGGGAAGCATGCGAACGGCACCATTGGGGGCTTAGCTGGAGCTCCCGATGGGGCCACGAAGCGTGTGAAGGGTGTGCCAACATGGGTGGCGGGGACGCGTGCGAACGGCACTACTGGGGCCGTAAGTGGAACTCCCTGTGGGGCCACGAAACGGGTGAGGGGTGTGAATGGCACCACTGGAACATTGGGTGGAGCTCCTCCCTATGAGGCCACGAAGCGTGTGAGGGGCGTGCCGAAATTGGTGGAGGGGGCACATGCGAATGGCACCAATGTGGCTTTGGGTGAAGCTCCATATGGTGCCACACGAAGCGTGTGAGGGGTGTGCCGAAAAGGATGGCCGCGACGCGTGCGAACGGCACCACTTGGGCATTGGATGGAGTTCCCTATTGGGCCACTAAACATGTGATGGGGTGTGCCGAAATGGGTGGCGGGGCAGCATGCGAACGGCACCACAGGGGCCGTAGGTGGAGCTCCCTTATGGGGGGGCCAAGAGGCGTGTGAGAGGTGTGCAGAAATTAGTGGCAGGGACGCGTGCGAACGGCACCACTGGGGCCTTAGGTGGAGCTCCCTATGTGGGCCACGAAACATGTGAGGGGAGTGCCGAAATGGGTGGCGGGGACGCATACGAACGGCACCACTGGGGACTGAGGTGGAGCTCCCTATGGAGGGGTGTGCCAGAATGGAAGCTGATGTGGAAAGCAAAAGTAAGAAGGGGGAGGAGGAGGAGGAGGAGGAGGAGGAGGAGGAGGAGGAGGAGGAGGAGGAGGAGGAGGAAGAGGAGGAGGAGGAGGAGGAGGAGGAGGAGGAGGAGGAGGAGGAGGAGGAGACGCGGGGACTGTCTCTTCAAAACGAGGGCCCAACTGCACAGGATGGGTGGGAAGAAAACGACTCGGGATGAAAAACCGGCCCCAGGCAAGGGTTCGGGACTTCCGGGGACCCCGCCCGCACTGAAGAATCATAACAAGAGGACGTTGGGGAAGGGTCGGGACTTCGCAGGGCCCCGTGTCGAAGCCGACCCTGGCCAGGCCCATCCTGGGCCCAGGGATCTGCACCCGGACATGCGATGTCCTAATTGCTTCGAGCGTGGTCCCCGAAGTCCCGGACATGCGATGTCCTAATTGCTTCGAGCGTGGTCCCCGAAGTCCCGACGCTCTCCCCAGGGCCGGTGCTCCACCCGGGGCCGTCTCTTGCCCCGGCCCCGGGGCACGAGATCCCCTGGGCGCCGAGAGCGGGCAAGAACCTCCCGCCGTGGTTGTTTGAGGGCGCGAGCACGTCTGGGCACACGCCCGTCCGAACTGGCATCTCGGGCATGGCCGGGGCCAGCGTTGGCGCACAGCTGGCGCCCGCGGGGGCGCAGAAACAGCATCCATGGCACGCCGCCGTGGAGAGCCGATCAGCGTGCTGCTGCCCGAAGAAACAAGAGGCTTTCGGGCACGAAGCGAAGGCGTAACACGCTGACGGGCTCCAGAGAAGGCGTGTCATTGTGACTCGAATCGAGGATCCATCGAGGATCGAGGATCGGCTGGGAATCGAGGATCGAGGCTCGATCGCAGACACACGATCTAGGTTCGGTTGAGGATCGGGGCTCGACCGAGGATGCAGGCTCGATCGAGGGTCGAGGATGGAGGCTCGATCGCAGACCGAGGAGGACGATCGAGGCTGGCGTCCGCCGAGCGCCTCCGCCTGCTGCAGCGGCGGCGGCGCCGGGACCGGGAGCTCCGCCTGCTGCGGCTGCGCCTGCGCCTGGGGCGTCGCAGCAGGCGCGGCCGGCGTGTCGAGCAGCGAGACAGTCTGCCGCGCGGCCTGCAGCACGTTCGCCTTCCAGAGGGGGGGAGGGGCCAGCATGCTCACGATCGAGACACGCGCGGATGAGGTACCGATGCTGCTACCCTGGCCTCGTTTCGGCCTTGGTGGGCCTCCTGGGCGGACCTCAGCGCTACGGCCGGATTCGCCTCGAAACTCTTGTCAGAACGCACCCCGGGAGAGGTCCGGGGAGCAGCGGCATCGGTACCTTGTGTGGCTTGCCCGACAGGGCTGTTCCCAGATTTCGGCCTCTGGGGGCAGATTCGGGGCCCCGAGACCAACAAAACCTGCCCCAGGGCGAAAAGCTGGCCCCAGGGAAGGGGTGGGGGCCTCCTGGGGCCGCGCAATGATAAAATCCGGTCGTCGGCATGTCTAAGCCCGCACCCGGCCCAGGCTCGCGGACGGTGGATCCGTGGCCCCTGCTGGCCGAGCCGGGGAAGGCCTACATCTACACTTAGGTCGGGCATGTCCCCCTACAGGCGGATTTTGGACGACGAATATTTAAATTGTCCAAAAAAAATAGCCAAGAATAATCAAAAAATCGTCCCCTGGCTATTTTTGGACTACTGTTGGATACTCCTCCTGTAGAGGGACCTGCCCGACCCAATGTCTGCACCGAGGCCCTGAGCCCAGGACTGGCCGGGGCCGGGGCCGCGGCGCGGCACGGATGGAGGTGGAAGAGCTGGCCGCGATGCCCCACAGCAGCTCCGGCGGCGAGCGAGGGGGGGAGATGAGCCTTCTCAGAGGAAGAAGGAGAAGAAGAAGAAGAAGAAGAAGAAGAAGAGGGAGAAGAAGAAGAAGAAGAAGAGGGAGAGTGCGAGGGCGAGAAGGCCTTCTCATAGGTGCCTTCTCAGAAGAAGAAGAAGAAGAAGAAGGAGAGTGCGAGGCGGGGACTCATCCATATCCACCGCCTGGAACCGACGTCCTGGTGCCCCAGCGGGCGGCGGATATGGATAACTATGTTTCGGCCCCCAGGGGCCCGAATATGTCCATATCCACCGCCTGCCGAGGCTCCGAGACCTGACCCTCCAGGCGGTGGTCATGTATAAATTCCTGCCTCGGAAAGGAGAGGGCCTTCTCAGGAGGACTTGCCAGAAGCCGTCGCGCCTTCTGAAGAGTTTCCACCTGTATCTTCGGGGAGAGCTTCGAAAACTTCTCAGCAGGCCGGGGGACTTCCGAGCCTTCTGAGAAGGCCCGCCCCTTCTCACGTCCCCCCCCTCGCCGCCAGAAAAGGTGACCCAAACTTGGCAGCGCCCGCTGTTGGGCAGACGGCCCTCTGTCTCGAAGTGACAACGCCCGCGGCAGGGGGATTCCGGGTTTTCTAACAGCCTTCGCGCGGGGTACACTTTGCGTCGACTAGTGTCTACTCTGCCTGGCGCCACTGGTCGGTCACCCATTCGCAATCGAGTAGTCGCCCGTGGGAGCTATTTGGCACTTGCCGATCTCCCTTCTCGTTGCCCTTGCGGGCGCACCGAGCTATCAGAGTGTCTGGGCCTTCGGCCCGTGGATCATGAAGATGTGGTCGCCCTGGATGTTCTCCGTGCCCACCTCCCGTGGCCACAAAAAAACACATCCGCGGCCGCGGCCTCGCGGGCCAGGGCCCTGGGCCGCGGCCCCGCGGACACGGGGCAGCTCTCGCCCGCGGACGCCCACGCAGAAGGCACCCCTGCGACCGCGTGTCCGCGGGACCGTGCCCCAGGATCCAGGGCGCGAGGGCGTGGACGCGGACTTGCTCGCCGCTCGTGAGCCTCGGTGATGACGCCGAAGTTGTCCATGAGCCACCGGAGGATGGCGCCCTCCTCCGAGGGGGAACATTCGTTAGGCGTTAGGAGGGGAGGACCAGCTCCAGGGTGGAGACATCGACCCTGGAATCGGCGATACATCGCCGACAGACCGGGGACGGGCCCCCGATAGCGAATCCGCACCTTCCTGGGCGGAGTGGGCCACCAGGCCCCCATCGACAGTGAGAGGGCGATGCGGCGTCGCTGCATCCCCCCCCGAAGCCCCATTAGGCCCCCCTGACGTTGCCCCTGGCTTTCGGGCCATAACTCGGCTCTCTGGCTGCCGTTCGGGGCGATCCCGGCATCCCCGGAACGCCCGCGGCGAGGCGCAGCCGCTGGAACGCATCCCGAAGTAGGAGGACCGCCGAGAAGCAACGAAAGCGTCCGAAAACGTCACGCCTCGAACCCGAGGCCCCGAATCCCGAACCTCGAAACTCGAACCTCGATCCTCCCCCACGACGTAGCCGAGCTTCTCGTAGGGAACCAGGAGCTTGCACGAGATGTTGTCCGCGGGCTGCTGCTTCTCGAAGGCCGTGGCCACGATGTGCTCCACGGCCGGGGGCCGCGAACCCGCGGGCCCCTTCACGATGACCATCCGCTCCCCGATCCAGTGCGGGGTCTCCTGCAGGCAGCGCCTCCTCCTCCTCCTCCTCCTCCTCCTCCTCCTCCTCCTCCTCCTCCCCCTCCTCCTCCTCCTCCTCCTCCTCCTCCTCCTCCCCCTCCTCCTCCGGGGGGTACCGGGGTCGCGGACCGCCCCCCTGGCAGGGGAGAGCTTGCTGCCTCGCATGACTCAGACCCCCATCGCGCCGTGCCGCGACAGCGCGACGGGAGTTTTCTCGCTGCCCTGGGCGCCCAGGCGCCTCGAGACTGTCAAGCAACGACTCGGGATGAGAACCGGTCCTGGGAAAGGGGTTCAGACCCCTGGGGGCCCACATCAGGGAAAACAGGAGGGGGGGGAAGAAAAAACATGACGTTGTGGGTCTGGAGAATGAGATGCCGATTGCGGTCGCGAAATTTTGATTAGCGTGTCACCCCAACGGCCCCGGCGACACGCTATGCCTTGAGAGTGGATGGCGTGTCGCTCCGCTCCGCGGGGCGGGAGGCTCGGAAAGGCTCGGAACGTTGTCGCTTCGGGACTGGGAAGTGGACAGCGTGTCGCGCCGAAGCGCGGTGGGCCAGGACCAGCGGAGCGACACGCTGACCGAAAGTCCCCGACCGTAAGGGACAATTACTTGGATTCACAACTGGCTCTGCACAGGGGTAGAAGCTTTTTGATTGCGGGCCAGCGTATGATGCCAGCCCATGCCCATCCCGTCTCGTCCCCACTGACTTCGCGTCCTCCTGCGATGGTGGGATGGGAAGACGGTCCGCCGCCCCCTGCGCTGCACGCACTGAGCAGGGTAAGTAGGGATCTGGATTGAATTCCACGATGAGGCACTTGATGGGCCCCGAGAACGTCTGTCAAAGAGGGGGGGGGTGAGCGCAAGTCCGCTCGTAACCGGTCCCCGTGGTGGTCGAAACCGGCCAGTCTGTCGAGCCGCGTCCAGCCGTGGCGACGAGGGGGCGCCTCTCTCCGCCCATTCTGCTGGCCGGAGCCAATGCTGGGTCACCTCAGCGCCCCAGCCAGCTCCAGGTCTCCTCCGACCGGATCACCTTCACGTCCACGCCGAACGTCTCTCTCGCCTGGTGCAGCGCGCTGCCCTTCTTGCCGATGACGTATCCAGCCGACGAGTCCGGCACGAGCACCTGAGCAAACAGACTACGTGAGCCTAAACTCAAGTCGGGCCTGTCCCCCGTACAGGGGGATTTTGGAGGAAAAATAAACACAACAAAAAATCAAAAAGGGTCCCCAGACTATGTTTTGACTACTTTGAGATATTCCTCCTGTAGAGGGGCAGGCCCGACTTAAACTTTCTTGTTGGGCCCCTGGGCGGCGCTGAGGAGGCGCGCCGCCGAGGTGGGGCCTCAGCGCCGATCCGAGGAATCCGCGCGCACCTCCGCAAGTGTATGAGCTCATGCTCGGCCTGTTTTCCACCACCACCACCACCACAAGTTGGAGGGCGAGGGGGTTCTCCTCCTCCTCCTCCTCCTCCTCCTCCTCCTCCTCCTCCTCCTCCTCCGCCTCCATCCTCCTCCTCCTCCTCCTCCTCCTCCTCCTCCTTCCTCTCCTCCTCCTCCTCCTCCTTCTCCTCCTCCTCCTCCTCCTCCTCCTCCTCCTCTCCTCCTCCTACTCCTCCTTCCTACTCCTCCTCCTCCTCCACTCCTCCTCTTCTTGCTCCTCCTCCACCCCTCCTCTTCCTCCTCTTCCTCCTTCCTCATCCTCCTCTCCTCCTCCTCCTCCTCCTCCTCCCTCCTCCTCCTCCCTCCTCCTCCTCCTCCTCCTCTCTCCTCCTCTCCTCCTCCACCCTCCCGTATGGTGGGGTGGTGGTGGTGGTGGTGGTGGTGTGGTGGTGGTGGTGGTGGTGGTGGTGGTGGTGGTGGTGGTGGTGGTGGTGGTGGTGGTGTGGTGGTGGTGGTGGTGGTGGTGGTGGTGGGGGTGGTGGTGGTGGTGGTGGTGGTGGTGGTGGAGAAAAACAGGCGCATCAGTTCTTGCCGTTCCCAAACATGCGATGTAATCATGTGTTCAGGCCGGGATTCCCAGGAAGTCCCGACCCTTTCCCCAGGGCGGCTTCTTACAGAAATGTTTGACGGCTCTGCCCGGCGAGGGACCCCGGAGACCGAAAACGGCCGGAAACCTCCCGCCGCGCTGTCCGTTGCGGCGCGAGCATGACGGGGTTCTCCTCCTCGAACCTTCGTCTCGAACTCGGGGCCCAGGTGGGACAGGTTGGACACCGGCCCCCCGTCCGTGCGGGCCCGCTTCGCCAGGGGCTGGTCGTGGAATCCGGCCTGTTGTAGCATTGCGACGGCCGGAGGAGGGCCCACAACGAGATAGCGGCGGCGGCCCTCCCGCCGAGCCCAGACGCGCTGAGAATCGTCGTCGGCGTCGGCGTCCGCGTCGGCGTCGGCTTCGGCGTCGGCGTCGCCGCCGCCGCCGCCGTGGTCGTGGTCGTCGTCGTCGTCGTCGTCGTCGTCGTCGTCGTCGTCGTCGTCGTCGTCGTCGTCGTCGTCGTCGTCGTCGTCGTCGTCGTCGTCGTCGTCGTCGTCGTCGTCGTCGTCGTCGTCCTCGTCGTCGTCGTCGTCGTCGTCGTCGTCGTCGTCGTCGTCGTCGTCGTCGTCGTCGTCGTCGTCGTCGTCGTCCTCGTCGTCGTCGTCGTCGTCGTCGGCGTCGTCGTCGTCGCCGTCGCCATCGCCATCGCCGTCGCCGTCGCCGTCGTCTCAGGGAGGGAGGGCCGCCCGCTATCTCGACCTGGCCCTCCTCCGAGGCCCAGACACCCCGGCGATCTGACTTTGCTTCAGTGTGCGGCCCCAGGAGGTCCCGACCCCTCCCTGGGGAGGGCCTTTCGCCCCAGAGCCCCCCGAGGCCGAACTCGAGGAGAGAAACGCCAAGATAGAACAGATCTGCAGGGGAAGCCAGAAGGCACCCATACCGCTACCCCCTGGACCTCTCCCTGGGTGCGTTCTGACCAAAATTTCGAAGCGAGTCCAGCCGCAGCGACGAGGGCATCCCGTGAGGCCCAAAAAGTGGGCGGAGCCCACTTAGCCCAGATCGTTAACCCACCCAAGCCATGTATGGCACTTGTAAACCGCTTACAACCTAGGTCAGGCCAAATATGACCCACCTGGGCATCCACTGATAACCCCCATGCCCCCCTTGTGGCAATTCTCGCGCCGATCCAGGCAACAACAAAAAAAGACGCGCCAAGTCGGATCGCCGGAGATCTGGGAGAGGGTGCGGGCCCCAATCGGATACACCACCACCACCCCATTCCCCCCCCTCCTCTGCCCTCCTCGTCCTCTCCTCTCTCCCCCTGCTGGGGAGAGGGAGGGGACGATGGAGGCGGCGGTGGCGGTGGTGGTGGCGGTGGTGCCGGTGGTGGTGGTGGGGTGGTGTATACCTTTGGGCCCCGCAGATGGGGTCCGTGAGCGCGAGGAGCCCCGGCGCCGTCGTCGGGGGTGCGGGCGGCGGCGGCGGCGGCGCCGGCGCCCCGTGCGCCGCGCCGCCCAGCCCCAGCTGGGCGGCCAGGCCGGGCTGCTGCTGCAGCGCCTGCGCGAGCGTGGCCAGGGCCGAGGCCTGGCTCTGGCTGCCGGAGGCCGCGGCCTGCGGGCGGGGGGGCGGCACACGCCGGGGAGGCGGGCGCAGGGGCACCCGCCGGCGAGAGCGTGCCCCGTGCCCTCGCGGGAGGAGCGGCGGCGTGTGCACGACATCGCTGGCTCGTCGTGGTGAGTTTGCACATATAGCCCGGAGAAGCAATTCTGACCCCCCCCCTCTCCGGCGAAAGTGTAACGCTCCAGCAGACGAGTCTGCCCGCCGAAACAAGGAAACCGCCTGAAACATTCTCGCAATCTGGCCTCCGTGTGGTTCTGAAACAAGCGCATCGCAAGAGAAACAGGCCGCTTCGAATCATACACGTCGCCATCGTCGTCATCAGCGTTACCGTCGCAGCGGCAGTAGCGCGAGTCAGGAGAGGAAAGGAATATCTAGGAATCCTACAGATTCCCATTGGGATACCACCCGAGCCAAGGCGCGGGAATTGTTTATGTTCCATTCTTTTGCGCGGTGCTAAAGATATCGTTCCGCGAAAACCGCCCCCAGGAATTATTCAATTACGGTGCGGTGCTAACGATAACCCCAGGGGGGTTCTTAATTGCTTACTGCGGTTACACACCGCCATCCTCCCACGAGACCCGGGGCAGCGGTGTATAGAATCGCTGGCTCCGGCTCCAGGGGCCGCGGGAAGCTGCGGCCCGTGGCGAGGGAGCAGCACGCGCTCCCAGACCTGCTCGCGCCGTACAGGGTTCAGGGCGGAGGGTTTCCGTCGCGTTCGGCCTCTGGGTCTCAGCGACCCCCTAACGGGGCCTCCACCAACGGGCACCTTGGCCAGTGACCCGGCGAACCCAACCCTTCCCAACGTGGGCAGCGCTGCAACACGCCAGGAAGTGGCAACTTTCGGCAACTCTCCAAAGTACCCGCCAGCGAGCACCTGCTACGGTGCCGCTGGCTGGGGGGCCTCACTGGGCCCCCCAGACCGTCGAAAGGCAACCCGGGACGAAGAGCCGAGCCCGAGCACACGCTGACGTCGACGACGGCAAGACGCCCGAGCGTGGCGTGAGAGAGCACAGCCCCTGAGATCCTGGCGTCGCAGCGTTGCTCACAGCGGGTGACAGTTTGCAGGGCTTCGGGGGCGACCTGGGGCCCCCGCGGCTCGAGCCGGACCGGCACGTGGCTCGGAAAAAGATGGGGGTCCAGGGGCCCAGCTCGGGCTCCCCCGGAGGAAGATGGGGTTCCAGGGCCCGCCTCTGGCTGGTTCCCCAGGAGCAAGATGGGGTCAAGGGCCTGGCGCTAGGTCGGGCGTGCCCCCCTACAGGGGGATTTTCGACGAAAAATAAATAAGTCGGGCGTGTCCCCCTACAGGGGGATTTTCGACGAAAAATAAAAAATACCCAGAAGATACCCCAAAATGGTCCAGAAATGCTCCAAAAATAGTCCCAAGGCTATTGTTTGACTATCTTGGAATGTTCCCCCGGTAGAGGGGCAGGCCCGACTTTACCCCCAAGAAAAAACGATGGGGTCCAGGGCCTGGCGCTGGCTCCCCGGGGCTGCGGGGAGCCCCGCGGCCTGTGCCCGGGGAGAGCGGCGCGCGCTCCCACCGAGGAAGAGAAGGAGGCTTTCGGAGGTCCGCGCGGACCTCTCGGGTCGGCGCCGGAGCCCCCGAGCGGGGCCCCGGGCGGCGCCCCCTGGCGCGCCCTGCGCACCAGGGAGGGGGGGCCCAGCGCCGATCCAAGCAGTCCGCGCGGACCTCCGAAAGAGATGCCGCTTGTCTTCTTCGAGCAAGCCTTTCGGGAGGAGGAGATGGGGAGGGGCAAGGAGATGAAGACGCTATGGGTGTGGGTGCGGGTTGTCGAACCCCGAGGGGGGCTCCCGTTCGGGCGGGGGGGCCCATCCGAAAACACACACACACACACACACACCCATAAACCCCCCACGGGATTCCACCCCGAGAAATCGAGGGGCCGCATAAGTGTCGGTGCTGGTTGTCAGCTCATGAGCCTGGTGGGCGGCGAGCTTCTCCGGGTGCTTCGCGCACTCCTGGTCGGGGAGACCCAGACAGACTCGCGGCATGCCAAGATCACCGCGGGTGGTTCTTCGCCGTTTTTGGCGCTGGGGGGCCCTCGCCAAGCCCCGGGACCGTCAAAAAACGACACGGGGGTGAAAAACCAGCCGTCGGGAGTTCTGGGGACCCGGCATTGAAAAAATCCGTACGGCGCATGTCTGGGGACGCAAGGCTGGAGCCATGGGGGGCTCGAGATGGATCGACTCGCGGAGTCGGACTGGACAGGAAACGAATCGGATCGCCAGCGAGTCGTCCAGAATCGAATCGGAATCGGATCGCCCGCCTGGCTCCAGCTGGCCCTGGCCGATGCAGGCGAGTCGAGCCGAATCGAACCGAGCCGAAATCGCGGGCCCGGCCCGCGAATCGCATCGCGTCGGGTCGCATCGAGGGCGGCCCCTGGCCGTGGGGGCCTCGAGCTGGCCCGACTGGGCCGGCAGGAACGCGGCGGGGCGTAGTCTTAAAAGTTGGCGCGGACCCCCGCCGCAAGCATCTCACGAAACCTGGGCCGTCAAACCTGACGCCAGGACCGTCAGAGATCGGTGGCGGGCCCGAGTCGCGGCGTGCTCGAGGCTTCCGCCTCCCCGGTCCTGCTTGATCACCGCATGCACCATCCGCTCTGCGAGCATCACGGGCATGAACCCCCCTTCGATCTTGCAGGCCCTGGTGTCCCCCTCCTTGCTGTCGTTGTCGAGCTGGATCTGCGCGCCCGTCTGCTGGCGGAGGGCGCTCACCGTCGATCCCCCCTTGCCGATCACTGCGCCGCTCAGCACCCTCGGGAGCAGCATCGTGGCGACAAAGTGCTGCGGCTCGGGCATGTTGTTGGAGGCGTGGCCCTCCTTCAGCTGCTCCCAGATGGCCGTCTGCGCGGCGATGCACGGCTCGAGCGGCCCGCTGACGACGCAAGCGCGCTTGTCGCTGCCCTCCACTCTGCCCGTCATCTTCACGTAGCATCCGGACTGTGTGCCGGTCTGCTTGATCCTCTCGCCCCCTTTCCCGATGATAACGCCCGCCATCTGGCCTGGGATCGCCACCTGGACGCGCACCTCGTCTGGATCCTTCGGGGCCGAGTTCGTGTTGTCAGCGCGGTCGCCCTGGGGCGAGGCTCCAGCGGTGAGCTGCGCCAGGCCTGGGGGGACGAAAAGATACCGATACTCCTACGTACTCACTGGACCACTCCAAGATCTCGAGGCGACTCCAGCCGTGGCAAAAATCGAAAGAAGGACATCGGTGTCGGTGCGCGTTTCTCCCCTGGGGGCCAGGAATCCCGGTCAGCCCTGCCAACCCGGCGAGGTTGCCGAGCCCTGGGACGGACAGTCCTGCTGCCGCCCCAGCGCCCTGGCCCTTGTTCGGCGTGAGCAGCACCTGCAGCGCCTGCGCCAGGTTGGGCCCGGGGCCCGTGAGGGTCACTGCGCGCTCCTCCGTGCCGTTCGCGGCGTGGTACACGGGCTCTCTCCCTACCGTGGCCTCCACCGAGTAGGTCGCCTTCACCGCCTTCAGCTTCTCGCCGCCCTTGCCGATGACCATCCCCGCCCAGTTCGGGGGGATGCGGATCTCCACCGCGATCACGTCCTGGGGTCGCTCCTGCATCTCCTTGCCGTACGCCCGCTGCAGCGCCTGCGCGAACCCCGCGCACATGGCCTCGTGCGACCCCGCGATGGTCAGGCGGCAGAAGACCGGCGGCAGCGTGTTGCCCGGGTCCGTCTCCGGGCGGGCCTCGGCCCTCTGCTTGCACGCCTCCCGGATCTGCTTGAGGCCCGCCCCCTGCTTGCCGATCAGCCGCGGCGCGCGGTCGTTGGGCACCAGCCACCCGATGGCGTCGCCCGTGATCTGGGACGGCGGGAACGACGACAGCGGCGGCGGCTGCTGCCCGTACTGCGGCGGCGGCGGCGCGGGCACCAGGGCCCCTGCAGCCGCGCCCGCCTCCGGCAACGTGCCGGTGGCCAGGTACTGCTTCGCCGCCAGGTCTAGGGACATGCTCGCGTCGGGAGGCTGGGGGGGCGCCACAGCTGCATCCACCCTCATGGGATCTTCGACGATGTGACTGTTTCGATCTGTGCGTTTTGCCGCCGGACGAAAACCTGGCCCTGGGGAAGCGGTCGGGGCCCCTGGGCTCGCGCCTTGAAAAAAAGAAGATCGTCGGATGTCTCAGCCCGCACAGGCCCTGGTCGGGCCGATCCTGGGCCCGAGGGCGATGGATGCGTGGCCCTTGTTGGATGGGCACGGCGGGGGCGCATATCCACTGATATCCTGGGCCCAGGACTGGCCTGGCCCGCTGCGTGACACGCCCGAAATGGGCACTGAAAAAGGTGGGTGCGATGCCCAACAGCAGACGCTGTCCAAAATAGACAGCGCCCACTGGTGGGCAGGCGACGTCCTGTCTCAGATGGACGACGCCCGCAGCAACACCGACAGCTAGTCCTGCTCAACATGGACATGAACAGATGTCGGTCTTCGTCCCCACGATTTCCCGAACCCTTTCGATCGTACCGTATGGGGCCTCCCAGATGAAGTCGGAGCACGTGGGGCCAGGAGATCGCGCCGCATCGCCGATACATCGGCGATGCATCGGCGATGCATCGGCGATGCAGCGGCGACGCACGCGTGGAGAAGATCGGGCTCCACCTCGAGCCGCCTCTCCAATGCATCGGCGATGCGGCGCGATCCTCCGACCCCGTCGACCCCGCCCCCACTTGGGAGGCTCAGACCTGCCCCTCTAGATCGCGCCGAGCTGCGCGGGGGGAGGACCGCGCTGGCGCCCCCCCGAGGCGGGGCGGCCGGCGGAGGCTGCATCACCTGGCTGGTCGCGTCCTGGCCGGGCCACTCGCCGCCGGCCGCCGCGGCCTCCATGTCGGCCCCTTTTGATGGGCCGATTTTCCACCACCACTACCACAGGTAGAAGAGAGTGGAGGAGGAGGAGGAGGAGGAGGACGAGGAGGAGGAGGAGGAGGAGGAGGAGGAGGAGGAGGACCTCCCCGTCCTCCCTTCTCCCCCGTCCTACTTAGGGTAGTGGCGGTGCGAAATTAGCCCGTCACCTTTTCAGCCGCGGTGGAGAGCGGGCTCCGCCTCCCCGGGCATGCGCGTCCCCCAAGGAGGGGGGCGGCGCCTGCCCGAGCCTGCGCTGGGCCGAGACGGCTGCGGCGGGCGAACTGCCCGCAATCCGCCCTCGCCAGCGGCCGCGGCGGCCGCCGCCGTCGATGAGGCGCCGAGGCGGGCGGCGAGTCGCCGAGGAGAAGCAGGAGGAGGAGGAGGAGGAGGAGGAGGAGGAGGAGGAGAGGAAGGTCGTGAGGGAGGTGAGGGAGGAGGAAGAGGTGGTGGCGACGGGGGGAGGAGGAGGAGGAGGAGGAGGAGGAGGAGGAGGAGGAGGAGGAGGAGGAGGAGGAGGAGGAGGAGGAGGAGGAGGAGGAGGAGGGAGGAAGGGAGGAGGAGGAGGAGGAGGAGGAGGGAAGGAGGAGACCGAGGAGGAGGAGGAGGAGGAGGAGGAGGAGGAGGAGGAAGGAGAAGGATGAGGATGAGGAGGAGGAGGAGGAGGAGAAGGAGGAGGAGAAGCAAGGGGCTTCTCCCCATTCATTGCAGCGGCGCAGACGCTCACGAGGGTGCTGTACAGTGCCGCGCTCCTGGCAGTGGCGCCCGAGGCTACCCATCAGTATGCCCTGTGGACCTCCTGGGCTGGGAAACTCCTGGGGCATCCGCCGTCGTGCCACGTCGTTTCCACCCCAGCCGTGGCGCCGTACGGCTGGGTGCGGCGGTTGGCAGTGACAGTCCTCGAGGCTGCTGCCGCCGCGCTGGCGCGCCCCTCTGTGCTGCCCGCGGACCACCCTGCCGCGAGGATGCTGGCGCTCGTGCCCGCTCGGGGCATGCCCGCGTGGTTCACAGAGGTGCGTCAATATCTTGCGGCCGCCAGGGGCGGCGCTGAGGTGCCCTCCGTGGAAGAGGCAAGGTCCTTGCGCCTGCTGAACTGCTGGTCCGCGCCCAGGCGCAGAAGTGGGACAGAAGGACTTTTGCTCCAGAGATACCGCCACGACATTGTCCTTCCAGCGCTGAAGGCCAGCGAGGACGCCGCTTTCGCCGCCAAGGCGGCGGCGCCCGTGCTCGGCGTGCCGTTCTCGCTCCTCTATGCCCGATCCACGCAGCTGCCCGCCGCGTGGGATTCACGCGGAGCGTTGCCCAGGTTTGGGAGAGCCCTCCGCTGCCGGTGCGCCGTGCGACTCACGGGGCTATGGCCGATGCCGAGCGCGCCCGAGACCCGGATCACCGCGGAGGCCTGCCTGGAGTGCGGCGCGCAGGACGGGAGGAGGAGGAGGAGGAGGAGGAGGAGGAGGAGGAGGAGGAGGCAGAGGAGGCAGAGGAGGAGGAGGAGGACCCGCTGTGCCATTGTCCCAGCACGGCTGCCGTCTTCGCCTCCGCAGCCAGACCTCGAGAGTCTGGCTCCTGGCCACTCTCGGGACGCGGCCAGGCCCCGAAGCGCAAGCCCTGGTCATCGTGGCCGCGGCCGCAGGCGATCCTCCCGTGCATCCGGGAGCACGAGCGTCGGTCTGGGGATGCGCCGCGGCGCAAAGGGGGGAAGCCGATGGCCGCCACTGCGCCACCGCTCTCACTTCCCCCTCCACCTCCGCTCCCGCCGCCGCACTGGTGAGAATGTTGACGCTACCGCTCACGAAAAATACGACTCTCACGAGGAATACTCGTGCACCTGCCTGGACAGAGGCATCCACGCGTCGACGCTCGGCCGAGAAAGGTGTTGGCTCATGTTTTATCGTTGGCTCATGATTTATCGTTCGCTTCTTGCGCGCACCAATGTGACATCGCATTTTCCCCATACTCTGAATCGAGCAGAAGACGGAAGGCGCCACTTCCGCCACCCTCCCCGCTCTCTTGCCCCCCTCCTCCTCCTCCTCACTGCCCTCCCTCCCCTCCCCTGGTCGCGTGGTGGCCTGAGCCGTGCAAGGCCAGACCCACTCCCCCCCCCCCCACGAGCAGCGCTTTGGGGCGGCGCGCCCCCTCGGTTGCTCCCCCGGGTGGCGCTGCCGGTGAGGGCGCTCCGCAGGAGGAGGAGGAGGAGGAGGAGGAGGAGGAGGAGGGGAGGAGGAGGGGACGAAGGAGGAGGAGGAGGAGGTGGACCAGTGCAAACCCAAGACGCATCAACGATGTTGGAATACACTCTCCCTCTAAGCTAATCTTGAAACACACCAAGACATTCTCAGGATTTCAACCCCACGAGTCAACCAGGTTGCTGCGTCTTGACCATCCTGACTCGTGGCAGAACACCATTCCTGGGACTTCCACATCGCGGATCAACGTGACTGTTGCGCCCTGGCAATTCTGAATCGTCCCAAAACACAATTTATTGTTCGTTACTCATGAAAACCAATGACACATGTGTAAGTGTTTGAATCGAATGTGCGCGGCGTCAATGCGAGAGCCACCCTCTAAAAAGGAGCCGCCCTCGATCCGTGAAACTCTTACAAATGTTTAAAACGAGTATGCGCGGCCCTAAAGCGGGAGCGACATTTTGAAAGTGGCCCGCGCTCCACCCGTAAAACTCTTACAAATTCGTAAAGCAAGTGTGCGCAACGCTCAGGCGAAAGCCACGTCTTGAAAACGACCCGCCCTCCATCCGTGAAACTGTTCCAAGTGTTTACAACGAGTGTTCGCTGCGCCAGCACGATATCCACATTTTGAAAATGGCCAGCCCTCCTTCTGTGAAACTGTTGCCAATGTGTAAGCTTCAGGCTCACCAGTGGTAAAGAAATCTCAAGCGAAACGCCCAGCCCACTCTTCCGACTGGCCTTGGGGCGCGCCATGGAGGAGTTATCCACGAGGAAAAAGAATTGAAAAGGCAAGAACGAAAGGGGTCAAAGGGGGCCGCGCGTCCTGTCCCCGCCGCCGCGGCGTCCGGCTCCTCGCTGGCGCGGTCGAAGCCGAGGCGCTGCAGGTACTGCAGCAGCCTGCGGCGGGCGGCGCGGCCACCGCAGCGGGGAGCGGTTCCGAGTGGGCCCCAGGAGGCCCCCAGGAGGCCCCCAGGAAGCCCCCACTAGGCCCGCAAAAATAGCCCCAGGCAGCCAGGAGGCTCCAGGAGACAGTCAAGAGGCCGCCGCCGCCTCCTCCTCCGCCTCCTCCTCCTCCGCCTCCTCCTCCTCCTCCTCCTCCTCCTCCTCCTCCTCCTCCTCCTCCTCCTTCATCCCATTCCCTCATAGATAACTCCTCCCTGTCGCACCCCCAGACGTGTCCGTAGGGCGGGCCGGGGTGTTCCTTTTCATAATGTGGCTCTCGCCTCAACGCCGCGCACATTCGTCTTAACAGCTTGTAGCCGTTTCACGGATGGAGGGCAGGTAGTTCTCAAAATGTGGCCCTCGCCTTAGCGCCGCACGCATTCGTCTCAAGTGTGCAACAGCTTCACGGATGTAGGGTGGGTCATTTTCAAAATGTCGCTCTCGTCTTAGCGCCGCGCACATTTGTCTCAAAAGTTCGCAGCACATTCACGGATGAAGGACGGGTGGCTTTCAAAGGTGACTCCCGCCTGAGCGTCGCTAACATTCGTCCTAAAGTGTTCAACCTTGTCATTGATGGAGGACGCTCCTTTTCCATCAATGGCTCTCGCCTTAGCACCGCGCACATTCGTTTTAAAAGTCTGCAGCACGTTCAGGATTCGTATGGTCCAAACCCCCAGATTTTTGTGCTGGCACGATTTAGAACTGTCAGGACGCAGCAGTCACGTCGATTCGCGGTGTTGAAATCCCAGGAACTGTGCTTGTGTACGGCTGATGACTCTCAGACGGCTGTCTTCTAGCGGACCACTTCCCGCAATGAAAACAAATTCTTTTATGCACATCCACCTCCTGCTTTTCCTTCCTCCCTCCTCCTCGACTCCTCCTCGCTCCTCCCTCTTCCTCCTCGACTCCTCCTCCCTCCTTCCCCCCCCCCCCCGCTGCCCCTCCCGGCCCTGCAAGGCGCCGCCCGCGGTACCGCGGCACGCGGCCTCGAGGACTTCGGAGGTTGGGCGCCTTCGTTGCTAGAGGCCGCCCAAGGTGGGGCTGGGGCAACACGGAGGCCAGAGGATTGCACCGCATCGCTGGAGCGTCGGCGACCCAGACATGCTCGCGTCGTGAAAAAAATACGACGGGAGGTTCTTGGCTGCTTTCGGCCCCTGGGAGCCCTCGTCGGACCCCAAGGCCGTCAAAGAACAACTCGTGATGAAAAAACTGCCACGGGTACAGGGTCTGGGCTTGCGGGGACCCCGCCATGCGGATGCTGCCACTGGGGCCTTAGCTGGAGCTCCCCATGGCCATGGGGCCACGAAGCGCGTGATGGATCGGCATGAGGAAGGCAGAAGCAGGTATGAGAAACGGACGAGGAGTGGGAGGAGGAGGAGAAGACGCGGGGAACCGTCTCGCTTGAACGGAGACCCAACACCACAGGATGGTTGAGAACCAGGACATCACATGTCTGGGGCCCCATCGCCGATGAATCGGCGAGATCGCGCCGGGATCGCCGAGTCGCAGGCGATGCGGCGCGGCCCTCCGACCCCACCTGCTCCAGCCCCCTCTGGGCGACGAGAAGAAGCGGGCCTCACGCGAGATGGCACAGCGACCTCACGCGGTGCCTTACGCGGGACGCCGGGCGCGGCGCGCTGCACCGAACACGAGGGCGCTCGCGCGCGACCCTGCACGGGACACTCACGCGCCGACGTCGGCGAAGACGACCCCGCTTTCCGGCGTCGCCCATGAGGGACCGTCGAGGGTCGCAGGGGCCGAAGAGGTTTCTGGGTCGAGGAGGTCTCTGATTCGCCACACGCCGCTGGAAAAGCGAGGGCGGGCGTCTCCGTGGCGAGGGCCTTCGGGGGGGCCCCATGGGAGGGACCCGGCTTCCTCGGGACTCCGGCGGAGGGGCAGGGCGAGCGGGACAGGGCAAGTGGGTGGGGAGCCGCGGAGGTTCCCAGGGAAGAGGGGGTCCAGGCCTCGAGGGTCGAGGGTCGAGGTTTTGGGGGATGGGGCCCACCGTGCCCCCCCAGAGAGCCTCGAGAGGCCCCAGCGAGCCCCCAAAAAAGGCCCACGGGCCCCGGCACAACCCATCGTGATGGGCCTGTTTACCCCCACCACCACCACCACCACCACCATAAGTTGGAGGGAGGAAGGAGGAGGAGGGCAAGGAGGAGGAGAAGGAGGAGGAGGAGGACCAAGAGGAGGAGATGGAGGAGGAGGAGGAGGAGGAGGAGGAGGAGGAGGAGGAGGAGGAGGAGGAGGAGGACCCCCACCCCCTCCAACTATGGTGCTGGTGGTGGAAAACGGGCCCATCACATCGGGGCCCTTCCCAGATGGACGCACAGCGCTCAGACGCTCCGACGCCCCCAAGAAGAGAGGCATCCAGGACTCCCAAGGGGTCGGCAGGGCGGCACAAGCCAAAGAATCGAGGCCTGGGGAGTTCTTTACCCTTTTCGGGGCTCCCAGGAACTCCTCGTCGCCGCCGCTGGATCCGCGTCGAGCGTCGACCCCGAAAAAGCACCCCAGGAACACGTCTGCGAGCCGAGGAGGCTCAGACACCCCTGCGTCGCGATCTGATATAACAAAAACCAAAAAAAAAAAAAAAAAAAAAACGAGACGTGCCCAATTCCATCTAAACACCAGGGAGCTATAGGCAGGACCGCTCAATCCAAAAGAACACACTGAGGGGTCTACGGCATCCTTGAACGATCCGCCAAAGAGGCCTCGACTGGATCCGCCTGTCCCCCCACTGCGCGAGGCCTCCCAGGAACCCACGAAAGTGGCGACAATTCCGCAGACGGCAGCCCACCAGGGAGCCGCGACGTCTCGACTAGATCTACGTGTCCCCCCACTCCGCTGGGCCTCGTGGCGATAGTTGCGCAGTTCGCAGCCCCGCGGGGACCATAGGCTGTCGACCACGTCTTCCTCCCATAGAAGCAACAAAACTCTATACGCATAAACTGTCAAAGCTCCGCGCGAATTTCTTGGATCGGAGCCAGACCCCCCTCCCTGCACCAGGGGCGACGCTAGAGGCGCCGCCAGAGCTCAGCGTCGATCCCGAAAGGTTATGTTTATGCAGTTGTTCTTCTTCGATTTCGCCCACGCGTCGCGCCTTTGGTCGTTCTCTGATGAAAAAAAACACACGCTCAAACCTATGGGGAGGAGGAATGAGAAAGGTCAAGGAGATGAAGGAGATATGGGTATGGGTGCGGGCTGTCGGACCCCAATTGGGGGCTGCCGTTCGAGCGGGGGAGCCCCATCCGACAGCACACACCCGTAGGTCCCCACGGAAGCTTACCCCGAGAAATCGAAGGGTCGCATAGGTGCGGGTGCCGGTTGTCAGCTCATCATGCTCAGTGGACCCAGACACGCTGGACCAACGGCTGCTCAGATACGCAACACGAAGCCCGTAGCGCGTTGACACGGAGCTCAACACGTAGATTGAAAACGATGGACTGTCGAGATACGATCCCCAAACCGTGGGCCAACACGTGCGTGAGAGACGTGTTGAACACGGCACGTTAGAGGAACAAACAACTACGTAAACATAAACTGTCGACGGTCCGCGCGGATTTCTTGAATCTGCGCTGAACCCCCCTCCTTGGAGCGCGGGGCGCGCCAGGGGCGATGCCGGAGGCGCCGCCAGGGGGCCTCCAGCGCCGATCCGAGAAATCCGCGCGGACCTCCGAAAGTTCGTGTTCGTGTCACCGTCTGTCCGCTGGTACTCGCTGCGTGTCAACACGCGCGTGGCTGCCAGACACCTCGACTCTGGGTGCACAGCGACGGCGCCGCCGCGCTTTGCGCGCCCTCGACCCCGAGACGCCCAGCGCCAGTGCCAACACAAGGGGGGTGCATCCACAGGGGGAAGATGATCCTAGATTTCGGTGTTGGTGGTCAGATTTTGGTCACCTTGGAAGCCATATCATTACCACCATCACCGAGATCGGGATCTTCTTCCCTCGGTGGAGGCACACCGCCGAAATTGGTGTTGGTGTCAACCTCTAGGCCTGCGACTATGGCCCGAAAACCACGACATGCCTGCGCCCTGAAGATGCACGACAGGAACGAGGAGCCAGCATCGGCCTCTGGGGGCCCTGGCCGGGCCCCGGGATCGACCAAGAAGAACTTTCCGGGAGGGAGAACGGCACCGAGGAGCGGGCCGGCACGTTCGGGGACCCCGTGTCGAGCAAATGTCAAAACGTCGGACGCCTGGGAGGGCAGGATGCGGATAAGGAGTGCGGATGGGGATGAGCTGGGGATCTCCGAGGGCCAGCCGGACCTGGAGGATCTCTCGGCCCTGGACTTCTGAGCGGGTGCACATCACTCACGGCGGCGGCGTCGTCGTCGTCTTCGCTGCCCCCCCGCGAGGCCTTCCGGAGCCGTCGTCGCAGGCGACGATCTGCGCGCGTGCCCGCCCGATGGTAGGGGGGAGGGGGGCGCGTGCCCGAGGGAGGAAGAGGAGGGGGAGCGCAGCGCCTCTCGAGCGTCTCCCGACGGCCGCGCTGGCGCGCGCCCGACGGACTACGCCGAGGCGCTCTTACGCCACGATGGCGGAGAGAGGAGGAGAAGGAGGAGGAGAAGGAGGGGGAGGAAGAGACTCCACGCCTCCATCCTCCTCTGCAAGGTCCCGTCGTTCGGTCGCCCTTAGTTCCCTCTTTTTACTTATAGGATTCCCGAACCTCCTGTGTGTTGGGTCCTCGTTTTGAATTCGAAACGCCGCGTTCCACCTCACCTCCTCCCCTCCCCCTCCTCCTCCTCCTCCTCCTCCTCTTCCTCCTCCTCCTCCTCCTCCTCCTCCTCCTCCTCCTCCTCCTCCTCCCGTAAGTGGTAGCGTCTGCATGACTACTCCGATCCAGTTCGCCACAGCCCTCACACGCTTCGTGCCCCCATTTGGAGCTCCACCGAAGGCCCCAGTGGCTGCGTCCGCACAGTTACTCGGGCCCATTTCGGCACACCCCTCACACGCTTCGTGGCCTCCTAGGCATCTCCGCCGAAGGCCTCACTGGTAGCGTCCATCTGGCCACTCGGATCCATTCTGGCATACCCTTCGCACGTTTCGTGGCCTCATCGGGAGCTCCACCGAAAGCCCCATTGGCTGCGTCCGCACGGCTACTCGGATCCAGTCTGGCACGCCCCATCACACGCTACGTGGCCCCATAGGGAACTGTACCCAAGGCCCCCGTGGCTACGTCCGCATGGTGACTCGGGGCCACTTCGGCGCACCCCATTACACGTTTCGCGGCCCAATATACAGAAGGGTTGGGTTCTTCGCCAGGGTAATTTAGTTGCCGTCCCCACAGCGACCACCGAGAGAGGAAGGGGCGCGGGGGCTCCAGCTGGACAAGCAGACAAGTCCGCAGTGCTCAGCACTCGCACGGAGAAGGAAGAGGAGGAGGCGAAGGAGGAGGGCGAAGGGGAGCACGAGAAGGAGAAGGAGGAGGAGGAGAAGGAAGAAGAAGGAGGAGGGGGATAAGGAGGAGGAAGAGGAGGAAGAGGAAGAGGAGGAGGAAGAAGAGGAGGAGGACGAGGAGGGGGAGGAGGGAAAGAGGGAGGAGGAGGGGGAGGAGGGGGATTCCAGCGACTCCGGCAAACAATGGTGAGCAAAATGGGGGAGAAAGCGGAGGAGGGGGAGGGAGGAGGAGGAGGAGGAGGAGGAGGAGGAGGAGGAGGAGGAGGAAGACGAAGAGAGGGGGAGGAAGAGAAGAAGGATGAGGGGGGAGAAGGGGACTTCCCGCCTCGCTCCTGCTTTGCTAGATCCCTTCGATCGGACGTCAATTGTTTGTTCTCTTCACCTCTTGTTTGTATATTACCCTGCCCCGTAGCGACCGCCAGGAGAAGGAGGGGATAGAGGGCTCCAACTGGACAAGCAGGCAAATCCGCACTGCTCAGCGCTCACGAAGAGGAGGAGGAGGAGGAGGAGGAGGAGGAGGAGAAGGAGGAGGAGGAGGAAGTGGCAGCGGAGGAGTAGGAGGAGGGGGACGAGGAGGACGAGATGGACAAGCGGGAGGGAGGGGGAGAAGAAGGAAGAGGAGGGAGGAGGAGAAAGAGGAGGAGGAAGAGGCACAGGAGGAGGAAGACGAAAAAGAAGAAGAAGAAGAAGAAGAAGAAGAAGAAGGGCAGCCTCGGGGGGGCAGAGTCACGCAATGCGCAATGGATAGGGGCCCTGCCAACGCCACCCGATAGCGGCATCTGCAATGGAGTAGCCCCGCGGCGCCGTGCTCGCCGAGCCTCTACCGAACATGGCGCAGGTGGTCGGCCTTGTCACTCACAGCCCCGCAAGCCAGGCTGCGATCTCATCCTCCATCACTCCCATTGGTGCTTTGCCCTCCTTGACCATTGCCCATACCTGGAGTAAGGCTCGATGGATGGTGTCCTTGATGAGGCCTGCCTGTTTTGCTCCTCGGTGGGCTCCTCCTCCTCCGTCTCCGCGTTCGTCCATGGAGTCCATGGGCCCGCCTCGAGAAAGATCGCCAGCTTCGCCCGGTTCCTGCCGTTGCACTTTTCGAGGCAGATGCGCTTCACCTCGTCGAGGCTAGTCGCAGAGCTGATCGAGCCGATGTACTTGCAGTGCTCGGTAAGAAAGGTCCTCGTCCTGCCGCCAACGCCCTCGGCTGAGATGGTCGAAATACATGTCGCGTAGAGATGCCCCTCTGGCGGCCCTAAAATATAACCCCCTGCCCGCCTCCTTGCATGTGTCCGTGCAGATATTCCTGCACGCTCGTGATGCCTTGATGGCGTTGCTCTGGACTGGCACGAAGTAGGCGCTGCAGACAGCCGCTGCGACACAGGCCAGCTGCTGGGCGCCAGCCAAAACCTCTTCGATGAGGATGGTGGAGAACTTCGTCGGCTGATGGTCGACTTTGGCGCGGCATGCCTCTCCCCCGCGCGTTGGTCGCGCTCCTCGCGCAGCCCCCCGCCACAGCTGCTTGCGCTGGTCCTGCCGCCCCTGCCGGCGATGCCGCGGCCCCGCCCTCTGTCTCCGCCGCCGTCTCTGCACCCTCGTCCTCGGCCCCGCCCGGGCGCCCCATTCCGCCCTTGCCGGCGCGGTCGGTCTTCAGGGTCTTGCTGCCGCGCTCGGCGTCGGCCACGCCCCCGGCCACCTCGTCGGTTGCCTTCTTGTCCGGCACGCGCCAGGCCGTCACGTAGAGGCCTACGCCCAGAGAGATCCTGCGCCCCCCAGATGGCCCGCGCGCTGCAGAAGCACGATACTGCCACGTGGGAAGATGCACACATGGCTGCAGGTTTGGACACAGAGGGCGCGATAGATCTGCAACTGGAAGAACAGGGCGTTCGAGTCCGGCAGCGCATGCCAGGCAACGCTTCTGTCCGAGACAACGCAACATGGTCTTTTGTCTGAGCTGGATCAAAGGAAGAGAGCGAGGCACATCGAACACTGATTGGCAACTGCGACCGCTGACGCCGATCGCAATCCGCGCCCCCCTCCTTTCGTCGAGGTCTGGCGGGCACAAAGCGCTGCCCGCGCCGGGGAAACTCCGGGGGCGAGTTCCCCTGACTCCAGTAGTAGATCACATTAGAAATAGCCTTGCTCATCTCCTGCCCGGGGCCCAGCCAGAGGTTCGAGCCCCGGCGGGAGCGCAGGCGGCGCTGAAGCTGCAGCCCTGAATTATGCCGCGAAGATGCCGATGAACGTCTCGGGGGCCTCTGGGCCATGACATAGTTGCGTGGCACTGCCATTCCATACATGACTGGACAGCTCTGCGCTGTCGAGCTCCAGAAGAGAGAGGACATCATGGTCGCGCTGGTTAGCCCAGGGGTTGGCCTTCTCGGTGAGCTCGCCCTCCCAAGCGAGTTCGCCCATTTGCTCGCGGTGGGTGTTGACCTCGAACTGAATGACTCCGAGCAGCGCGGTGATCCACTGGTCGTAGTCCGCGCGGTACTTAACTGAAGCTTCAATCACGCGAACGCGTCGCACTCGCACCCCGGTGAACATTGACGATATCCGCAACGCTCGAAGATCGCGATGTGACTCACGATACTGCACGCGCCGTCGTCATTGATGGTGGCTCGCCCTTGCAGCAACACGCGCAAGAATTTGGCCGCGGTGGCGTCGAGCTCGCGGAACTCGGCGCCCATGCAAAAGCAAAACCCATTCCGCCAGCTGCAGAGCCGCTCGATTTGCCGATGACATTGATGCGCTTCAACCTCCAAGGAACTCGCGGTTGCCATAACTCACCCATAGTGCCCCACGCGCGTATGGTGCTCGAGATAATTTCGCCAACGTCGACCGCGCTGCTGTCTGCGCGGTAAAAATGGCCGCCGAAGGTACTTCACGGCACGCAGCACTCGCGCTGGCACTTGCCGCAGCAGGAGACGGGGCCCCCCATCCGGCACGACGGCCCCCCACTAGCCCTTCCTTCACACGTCTCCGATGGACGACGCGGCCGTCGTCGAGGATGGTCGCCGAGGCTTTCACTGTAGAGCGGCTGACTGCGCGGGTCTCGAGGATGTCGTCGGCGGGGAGGCACGCGGACAGGCCCGCGGCACTTCGCGGCACTGGGAAGATTGCGACGAAAGGTTTCGGGTCTTTCATGGTCTCGCCGAGGCAGGCGCGCGCCGGCTTTTTGCGCGCGAGGTTGATGCTGGCGGGCCCTGCGCCGCAGCCTGGCACGGCCCCTGCCCCCGTGGCATAGTCTCCCGAATGGTCGCGGCCGTCGATCTGGACTGCGGCACCGCGGCGCGCCGGGCGCCCGGGCGCCGCCCCGCGATGTCGAAGTCGGGCGGGGCGACCTGCACTGCCTTATCGGTCAATGCTAGGGAACGCGTTGGTCGCGCCCTTGCCGCCCGCGGTAAACTCGAAGCTGGCCCTCTGCAGTCTGCTCGCCGCGACGCGCGATGCCGCCATAGGAACTGCTCGCCGCGAGCGCGCGGAGGAGGCGCCCACGGCTTGGAGCGACACTGCAGTTGTCGAAAGAAGCAGCGCCACGACGGGCATAACATGCGCAGTGCGCGGAGCCCTTGAACATTGAAACGGGCCTCGACATCCTGTGGGTCCAACGCGAGGCTCTGACTGCGATGAGCGTCGAGTGGAGCGAAGCCGACCTTGCAGGCGCGGTCGATGACACCCGTGAAGCACTCGCCCGTGCTAGGAGCTTCGATGAGGTCGTCGTTGTGGACAAGCCCTGTGGTCTGCGGCCTTCCTTAGCCGATAGCGACCAGTCGGGCACGGAGGCACGCTTCTTGAAATACGTGGGCCGCGTCCTGACGCCGAAGTATACCTTGCCGATGATGTCTCTCGTATTCAGGCCATTGCCCCATAAGCTGCTTGAGCTCGGTCGAACAGGAGAAGGAGGTGGACTTCTGGATTCCTTTCCCCCCCTTCCGGTCGACTGGATACGCCTCGAAGCCTCCGTCCACGCCGCTGGGCGCGACGCGGGTAGAAGACCGGGCCGCGCTCGAGCCGCTGCGACATAATTATCACTTCGATTGCCATAGCTGGCGCCTGCCACGCACCCCGATACTCCATGAATATCTTCGGGCTCACGTTTGTCCAGGCCTCGTAAATGAGCGCACGGCGCGTTGCCTCGTCCTCGCGCTCGCGCCTCCTGAGGGCGCGAGCGAGGAGGTTCAGCTTTTCCTGTACCTCTGAAAAAAAAGAGCCACCACCGATGCATTCGATGCGAAGTTCCGCTTTCTTTAGCAAGAGAAGGCGCCCTTTCATCTGCAGGTCATAGGTGCCCGCTTCTTCTGGCGATCGAATAACGGCTCGGCGGTCCTCTCTAGCTTTCTGATGAGTAACTGCCAGTGCTCTCGTCCGTCGTGTTCTCGGCCTCGAACTGCTGGATTTCGTCGAGCTTGTTCTGTTCTGGCACGCGGCCTCCAGTGCCTCGATGAACTCCTTGCGATAGGTGCCCACCTGGAGTGGAATTGCCATCTTGCAGTAGTCCCACGAGGTCCGCTGCATGTCCGTGTATATGTTGCGCAAGGCCAAGCTGACTGTCCCTATGAGTGGCACGTGGTCGCGGGGGGCGCTGTCCTTGAGGAGCTGGAGAGCCACGGCTGCATTCCACTTAACTGCACGCGATGTAGTCTTCAGTCGGGTTCATTGAAGCAATGCCACAGAATATGGCCGAGCGGTTTGACCGTGACTGCCGAAGTAAGCGGGGCACGCCTCCCAGAACGCGTTCAACAGGCACATCCCGCATACGCGTCGAATATGTGACACGCCGCAGCCGCTTCGCCTGGAGCGCCCGTGGGAGAAGTAGGTCCGCTGACGTCGTTGGCCGCCGCTGCCCTCATATCATCCTGCCCGCAGTGGTCGTTGAGGTCAAGGTCGATGATGGGGGTGCTGCGCGTGGGCGTGAAGCTGAGCGTAATACTCATCCACTTGAGTGTCTCGCTGACTGTCTTGACCAAGTGTTTGTGCTTCGCTGCGAGCCCTGAACGCGGTGGTCGGTATGCCACTACGAAGGTAAGCTCCACTTCGCCACTACGTAAAGCTCCTGCACGGCCTTTAATGTTCGGGGGAAGGCTTTTGAGCTCGACTATGCACCATGACGGCCACTCCCGCATGACTGTTGGCAAGAGAGGCCCACGTCGGTAGCCCCATGTGTATATCCTGTGGTCGTAGATCTGGAGCTGCTGGGTTTCGCTGGTGGTGTTGTGTTGCCTCCATCTCGTAATTGGTAGCATGTGCACATCGACGACGCTGAACTGCCTAGATATTTCCAGGCATCTCTGCGGCCCCACCATGCGCACGAACGACATCCAGACCAAGAACATGGAAATATGGAACAAGAAGGCAAGCCAAGCTGGCAACACACCAAAATGCCCTGAGGGGCAGACGCTGATCTGCGCGGAATTGCCACCTGCGCCACTGGAAGGTAGGCATGAGCAGGAATGGCGGCTGCGCAGGAGGAGGAGGAGGAAAAGAAGGAGGAGGAGGAGGAGGAGGAGGAGGAGGGGGAGGAGGCCGCGCGCCCAGCGACGAGCGCCCACCCCCAAAGGTCTAGGACCCTTTCCTGGGACCGGTCCTTCATCCTGGGCCGCGTTTTGTTGGTCCCGTGGCCCGGCGAAGGCCCCCAGGGGCCGAGACATGTGCTCGACGCGAGCACGCCTTGGGACAGCGACCGCGGCGTCGGCGGCTGCAACCACAGCCACGGCCGCAGCGGCGGCCGCGGCGCGACGGGCCCCTCCTCCGCCGTGGGGCACGCGAATGCCAACGCCAGCACGCCCATGGCGCCGAGCAGCGCCGCGGCAGGGGTGACGCCCTGGTGCTGTGTCTTGGTGGGGAGCCTGGCCTTGGGGCGGGGCGGGGGAGAGAGGAGGAGAAGGAGGAGGAGGAGGAGAAGGAGGAGGGGGAGAAGGGAGGAGGAGGAGGAAGAAGGAGGAGGGAGGAGGGAGGACGAGGGACGGAGGAGGAGGGAGGAAGGAGGAGGGAGGAAGGAGGAGGGAGGAGGGAGGAGGAGGAGGAGAGGAGGGAGGAGGAGGAGGAGGAGGGAGGAGAAGGAGGAGGAGGAGAGGAAAGGAAGGAGGAGAGGAGGAGGGAGGAGAGAAGGAGAGAGAGGAGGAGGAGAGGAGGAGGAGAGGAGGGAGGAGGAGGAGGAGGAGGGGAGGGGAGGAGAGAGGAGGAAGGAGGAAGGAGGGAGGAGGAGGAGGGAGAAGCAGGAGGGAGCAGGGAGGAGGGAGGAGGAAGGAGGAGGAGGCGGAGGAGGAGGAGGAGGAGGAGGAAAAGGAGGAGGACGACGACGACGACGAGGGAGGAGGAAAAGAGGAGAAGGAGGAGGAGGAAGGAGGAAGAGCAGGACGGAGGAGGAGGAAGAGGAGGAGGAACAAGATAAGACCTGTCGCGAAACGAAATCAAACCAGATGCCAACTCCTGAGTTTGTCGAGATAGCCGACGAATTGGACGGTGACGCGCAGCACCCCGGACACGGCGGACAAGAAAAGGGAAGCCCCCAGAACACCGAATTGATACCACGAAATAATTATTACATGCAGCAAGAAGCACGCTACGAGGAAAGCATAGGCATGTGCATTCGGGCAAGCGGCGCCACATCCACATAGCAGCAAGCAACAATCAAGATGTTCACTTCTTCCCTCCGACCAACCCATAACGAGAAAATAAACGCCAGAGACTTGCACATAGCTGTACCACGGACGAGGAGCCCACGCCGCTGACTGCCGCACACGAGCAATTATACAACATCCGCCACCACATACGGCCCAGTCTCCTTTTAAAAAATCCGTCGCCCACCACCTTCAATAAACACCCAGGGACGGGCGGGGGGAAGATTTAAAATGTGAAGATCCACCGGGACCTCCACTCCCGCCGCCCCAGAGAAGGACCGCGCCGATGATGCACAGGAAAAAAACAAACAACAACGGCCTGACCAGAAGCAACACAACGCTCAAGACGCAACAACAGGTGTTGCTACCGCAAGAGGCCATGGATGAAACCACGGCGGGAACGGCAACCTCCAAGCACCAGGGAGCACTCAGGCCCCGTCAGACACTCTTCTCCCAGCGGGCCAGCGCGCCCATGCCACGCAGGTTTAACCCGACAGGAGGTGCCCAGGGGACCTGAGCCGAGATGCTTGAGGAAGGTGGAGTAGGAGGAGGGGGGGAGGGGGGAGCAGAGAGCAGGGAGGAGGGAGGAGGGAGGAGGAACAGGGAGGGGGGAGGAGGGAGGTCGTCGTCGTCGAAAAATGGGAATGGCGGTGCGCCGTCCTCAAATCAACTGGCACTCTGATGCCTGCTATACATAATGCAACAGCAGACAAATAAGAAAGACAAAATGATAAGATCACAAATCAACGAAGGAGTGCCTCGCGCCAGGCCATCTGAACCGGATCGGCGAAGGGGCCTGCCGGGCGAGGAACAACAGGACTGTCGAACAAACCTGAAAGCGACACAGGCACGGCGCGGGCCGCCGCTTCGGCGGCGCGACGAGCCTGGCATTTTCCCGATGAGCGGCGATCCGCTTTTTCTCTCTCTCTCTCTCTCTCTCTCTCTCTGGGCGTCGGTGAGCGGGAGGGGGGGGCGGCGGGGGGGGGAGGGGGGGGGGACAGGGGAAGACAAGGGGGCAGGAGAAGGACCGAACGCCCAGGCGGCAGGATCCTCCGCAGCACATTCGAGGAAATCCTGCTCGTCTGAGGCTTCTACTCCAACGAAGTTTCCCCAAAATGGGGGCTCGTAGGAGGGCCACTAGCACGGGGATCCTCTTCCTCCGCCTCAGCCTCCGACTCAGACTCCTTAAACCTCACCGATTCAGGGCCCACGCGAAGTCGCCTTCGGCGTCGACCCGTGGCCCCAGCAAAGTCAGGCTGCTGACTGGGGTCTGGGGGGGCAGAGGAGGGACCCGCCCACGAGACATCAAAATCCCGAATCTCGCACTCGACGAGGGCAGTTTCCTTTGAAAGCCGGCTGTCAGCCTGGCCGCTGCTCGACTCTGCACAAACCTGAAGCTCGCTGGCACTGATGCCTTTGGCAATCGCTAAACACATCCCAGGGGGGTAAATTTTCTCGGACGCAATAAAAAAAAACGGCCCTGACCATCTCCCCCAAGGAGAGAACGGTGGGCGCCAGGACCGTGGGGGCATTTTACCTGGCCGGGAGCATTGCGAAGCTCATCGTACAACGTTGGCATTCGAATGCTAACTATACAAGTGGGGCCCCCCCCAAAGGACGCGGGGCCAGAGTCTGGGGCCTGGTGCTCGCATTGATCAAACACACAAGTGGCCGCACACTGGGCCGAGGCGACGGCCGCGAGAGGGGGCCACCGAAAAGAGGTCGGGGCCCTAGGGGCCCACAGAGCACGAGCCGGGTGCTCCATCCAGGCCGCCGCCCCCGCACGGAGGTGCTCCGCCATGAGACGAACTAAGGCGCGTAAAGGCATGATGCCTATTCTCAGCTGTTCAGACTGTCGAGCCGCACACCACGGGACACCCCAAACGTAGACAGTAGACCTGAGAGGAAGGGGGCCCCCCTCCTGCCATCTGGCAGCTGACCAAGTCTCGCAGGGGGGCCCCCCTCCTGTGCTGATGACTCTGTGTGCACGTATGTGTTCAGCCCATTCCAAGATAGCCCCTGCCCTCGCGAGGTCGCCCCTGATCGGACCGATGGCGATGTCAATACTCAGCATGAGCACCTCTACACTAGGGAGCACAATATGATTCTCGAGCTGCCACTGCAGATCTCCACGTCTCCTTTGACCTCTAGATAAGTGCAAGGCAAAGACAGTTGGCCGGCGGATGCGGATAGGCATAGCCTCGGCGGCGACCCCCGAATAGTCACCAACTCGATTGCAGTAAACAGGGGGTCCACCATGGGAGAAGGGTCAACAGGAACGCGAGACTTGAATATGCCGAAGAAGTCCGAGACCGATGAAGTCTCGATACAGTAATCCGACTCACACATGATCTCCATGGCCTGGTCATCAGAAATCGAAAGCAGCAAACTCGCTAACTCCGCCGAGAGAACTGCCGCAAGCCTTGACGCTGGAATCTCCACCCGCAATCTGCCTTGACCAGAACGGAGTTGCTGCGCAATGCGGCGAGACTCCGCCTCGTTCAGCGCGCCCACCTGCTCTTGCGAGCACTGCCTGCCCGACCATAAAAGGCCAAGCGCGCACTTGGAAGAATCCAACGGCACATGCGCCACCAGTGCGGGGCGATGCGCAAACGCAGCGCCGCGCGTAGCGCACTCCAGACCCGAGCCGAGGACACGACGACTAATCGAAACCCGCGGGCGATGATTCCAAATAACATGCGAACGAAGCTTGCGAGCACGATCGAATATAACTCCACACCAGCGACACTTCCAGACTCGCTGCCCCTCAGCCTCTGCTCGAAGGAGCGGGCGCTCAGGATCCGCATCTGCGCGCGGCACTCCAGCATCTCTCAGGACATCAGGAATAGCGTGCTCCGCAGTGCGCGCTAAGGCAAGACAGCGGACATGTCTGGCATGTGCTGCCAGAGTGTCTCTGATGATGCTCTTCCATGCTGAGGCTGAACATCGAATTCGCATTTCCCACATGCGAAGGTCCTCGGAAGGGGTCAGGGAGGAGATGGCATCGAGCATGAAACGTCCAAACACACTGCAAATCTTCAATCACTTGATGCCCCCAAGACCTATGGCAGTCCATCCTGCACGTCGTAACCAGAGCCAGAATACGCGGGGGCCGTGCGTAGGAAACCGACCAGATAGCCGAAGACGTCGAGCGCTTAATAAGGCTCCCAGGGGGGGGGGGGGGGGGAGCTTAAGAACTTCACCCGAGATAGCCAGATTGTTGAGCGCCGAAGGATCCCTGCAAGGCTGCTTGGCGATAGCCCGATACTCACGCACCATATCGCCCTCCAGGCTCCGAAACTGCGCGGCCGAGAGATACCCCCACGTGCCAGCTTGAAATAATTTGCCTGAACAGACCAGAGAATCGAGCAGGACGACAGCCGTCTCCAGTTCTATACATGGCTGGCGAAGAATGCGTCGCCGTAGGCATGTCCAGGCACTGGCACACGACTGCGACCGATGAGCCAGCGAAGGGCCCATGGAACAATAATCATCTTGTGTATTACCAAGGTGGGTGCACTGATGAACTGCATAGATTTGCAGGGCACCCGCCTTCTCCGTAAGGACCTGGAAATGTCGCCTACATCGGACCACGGGGTCTTCTTTGCACGCGTGGCCCCAGGGCCCCGAAACTGGAAAAGAAGCGCCGATTTGCCAACCTTGGCGTTCAAACAGAAGCCCTTCTCGGCAAAAGCATCAGCGACTTTTGCCGCCAGTATCCGGGCAATTTCGAGCAGCTGACGCACCCTGCCGCGCAGCAAGAACACTGCGTCGTCAAAGAACGCGCCCTCGAGAGAGCGCGCCACGCGCTCGGGCGCGCCCCCCGCAGTATACTTGGCGAGCGAAGCATGCGCAGCTGTCGGGATACGAAGAACAATGCCGAGCGGTAGGAGGCGAGATAAACCCAATTGCATCGTAGACGACATGACGAAGTTGAAAACAATACCCCCGAGCTGCCGGCCAGGACCCGAGCCCGTCATAGGAAACGCAACCTTGGAAGCAGTGGGCAAATAAAACCATGACCCACTGCGCGCATCGGCGATCTGAGCACGACGCACGGGGGAAACTCCACTAGAGACAAGAAGAGGAGGAGGATGCTTGATATGATCCTGCAACTCTGCCGTAGCGGTTGGCGGGAGCCCGCTAGCTCTCAACGGCAACGCCAGTGAAAAGTCATCGCAAGCCGCATGCATAACTAGTTCCCGCATGCTAGCAACACCGATGCCTCACG